TCCTCTCCTCTCCTCCCCCTCCCCTCCTCTCTCTCTCCCTCCCTCCTCCTCTCCTCCCGTTTCTCTGTCTACTCTCTTTTCGATTTATTTGTCTATTTACTTAATTTCATATTTCTTATTTTAACTCCTGAGTTAAGTTATTCTCTTGTAATCGCGACAGGAGAGTAACTTCAGACAGAACATCCCGCTATAAGAATATTTAATCTTAAATCTGATATGCACTATAAAGGAGATGTATTAGAGCGTATTTTTGGAAAATTTTGTAATGTTTAATAATTCCATTAACCAAGTTTCAAAATTGTCAGCTAGACTAGAATTAGCTTTTAGGTAAAACGTACGTTTTCAATAATTTGTGAAATTTCTAAAGATTCTTAAATAGCATTAGATTTTTCAAAAATGTTGAATAATTCCTAAAATTATTAAACATTATTAAGATCTTATATTCTCAGAAATTTCCGGCAATTTTCCTTTCCAGATCGAATAGAGTCAATAAAAAAGATAGATTTTTCTTGTCAGATTGATTAAGATCAATTTCCAATCTCGCAAAAATAATTAATGATTATTAAAGATATTTTATTGTATAAGATATAACGGGAAACAAAAGTCTACCTAAGACGATCATATCACGTTAACCACTGCGTAGGACGTGATCAGAATCGTTAATTACGACCCGACTTTACTTAACCATAGAATTGTTTGTTTGAGCAAGCTTTCGCGACGCGACGTAATTTTTACGTGCGTGCCGTTGATCTTTATGTAATCTTGCTGAGTTGGCGAAGGAATTACAGGAATGCGCATTCCTCAAACTGTCTCTCGCATTGTCCTATCCCGTAAATAATGAATCGTAACCTGTGTGCGGTAATAGGCTTGTTAGGTCGCACCGCCAATTATTCGTGAATCGGGATCACTCGTAATTTTGCAGAAATATCGATTCGACTTGTCCCGACATAGAGGTAAACTGCGGGCGTGACTTATCCCTAATACTTCGATGCTATTGGCTGACGTGCTGAAGATAACGAAAATAGGTGCGTCATAACTCCACGCGATGTCTCACGAACGATTCGTAAAACCTCATGCTTTTGTAATCTCGGTGAAGCGACGATTCCAAGATCTGTTCAAATCGGTCTGTCAATCTCGCTGCTCGTCATCAAGATTCCGCGTCTTCCGATTCGACGTGAGACAATATGGGAAAAGGCAGGGCCGACATGATCGGCCGATAAATATCTCACGGGAGAGCAACGGGCGAGCGCGATCGATCCACAAGATCGTTATCCATCTCGAGAGCGGTCCGACAACGTGCTCTCGCAGACTGCAAACAGACTTTCACTCGGCGGCAAAGCTTGCACAAGAGCAAGCGTGCGCTCGCCATCCCTCTCTTTTTCCTTTCCTCCTGTTTTTTTTTCCTCTCCCCTTTTCCTGCTCTCCTCTCATTTTCGCAAAACCGCGGAGTAAATAACGTGCGCGGAATCCATGATCGCGAGATGCCGACACGGAAACGAATAGAATGCCGCCAGAAATGTCGCTCGGCTGCCGGTAGAAACCGGGCGTTCTACTGTTTCCTACCTGCGCGAATTTATTTGTGTGTGCCTTTTTCTCCTTTTTCTTAATATATCTTTGCGAGACTCGCGCCACTTTACGACTACGACGCAGTAATTGAAAGAACGTCGAGAGAGAGAGAGAGAGCATCTGCTTTGAAAATTCACAGTAAAGAAATGTGAAAAGTAATAAAATGTGCATTCACGTTAGACGAAACAACGAATAAAATAATGTGATTTTAAAATGTAAAATTGAAGGATAAAAAGATAAAAGAATCAATATAATTCAATTTTTTCTCAAATCAATTATCGATTGTATCGCATCTTCGTTCTTCGTGTAATCTTTAACGTTCAATTGTTGTCAATTTTTATCTAATTTTTTTTTTGTGAGAAGCATAAATGCAGAAATGTGTGAAATAATTATTATGATAATTATTATTTTTAATTGAAGATTAAAATTTATGATATTTCGATTTGAATTCGAAACGCGTTTTAGTGACACAAACCCAAATTATATAACAAAAAGATTAAAATAGAAGGGCTCCTTTAATTAGAAAAACAAATAAAAATGACAATAAGGGCAATGGGAGTCAAGCAGTAAATGAGGCAAATAATTATCCGTTAAATCCTATCTGTATTTAAGGTTCTTCTTACATCCAGACGGTTCGAGCCATTTTCGGATCATCTTCAGTAGATACATATATACATGATAAGAATGGTTTGAAACCATTAATATTAGCTCATTTCTCTGATTCGCATCGATAAACGCAATATCTCGAGGGCCTCTGTCAAAATAGGTCCACAGCTGATGTAGAAGACACTGTATAATCAATATCATTTGAATATCGTTTACGATATATTCGCGAAATAAAGTTTTTATAATTATATAGTTTTGCGAAAATTCTAATTCCTTCTAATCGAGAGAACGATCAGCGAGATCCTGAGATACCTGGTCAACGATGCAGCGGACAGTTATTAAAGGAAGGTTACATGGCGACTTGAAAAATGAAGCCGTCGCGCCGGTCGCGGATGGTAATTTGTTTGAAAACGCGAGACCGAACGCGTTCCGACTACGGAAAAGCGTACACGATAACCTTACGTCACGACCTACCGAGATACAGCGTTATCGCAGTAAATTGTAACTCGGTTCTCTTTTTCAGCGCTCAAAACTCGAAGAAGAAGCCCGGTTCTTGGCTGCGACTGAGTCAGCAAAATTTCTTTTAGCATCGACAACGACAGCGACGACGGTAAAAAATTATCGGGATGGGTCGTCCTCGATATCAATGGCGCAGCAACGTCGTCAGAGTTTCTCGATTTTAACTTCGACACAAAATATTAGGACTTCAAATAATATCGCCTTTTTGTTATCAACAATTGAAAGAGATGCTCGACATTTCTGCAATATTTTGTTATTTCGTACTGCAAAAAGGAGATACTTGCGTTTCTCTCTCATGGAACAAAATGTTTTTCTCGAAAAAAAAACATATCGTTGAAAGTTTGGTCTTTTTTTTCAGATAAACTTTAATTACATCGCCTATACTTCAATAAATAAACATAGTGATATGTGTATAAAAAAAAAATGATATTTTCAGTCGTTAGGCAAAATCCTATGTCTAATAATCTTCTATAGACTTATGCGTCGATTTTAAAATATTTTTTTCGCATTAAAAATTAACAATCAACTTAATATTATTGATGTACAACAAACGTTTTGTAAACCTACGAAGGAATAGATTTATTTACTTATTAGACCGCGAGTAAAACACACGTAATGCTTGTTCCGATAATTCCAAAGCATCTTGTTGTTTAGAGGAAAGACATCTGTGATATTCCATCCCTCGTAACATAAAAAAGCTCTCTTTTGAAGCATCGAAGAAAGTAGCACGTTTATTCGATACAAAAAAAAAAAAATCTATGAGCATTCTCGATTTAGAAAAGTGTTAAAATTAGTAAGTGTGCGTTAAAGTCTTGCCACTCGGTTGCCTTCGGCAGTCGTGTAGTCGCGCAAAGCGGCACGTGTGGCGCGCTTGGCGCGCTTGGTATCAGCTTCCCTTGCTCGGCCAACGATAGCGATAACAAT